CTCACAATTCTAGAGGCTGGAAAGTTCAAGATCAAGGTTCTAGCAGACTCTGTGTCTGGCAGGAGCCTGTTTCCTGGTTCATAGAGGGCCACCGTCTGTGTCTTCATATGGTGGAAAGGGCTATGCAGCTCTCTGGGATTTATTTTATAAGGGCACTAATCTCATTCTTAAGGGCACTGCCCTGGGGACCTAACCTCTCAGTGGCCTCACTTCCTAATACCATTCACATTGGTGATTAAGTTTCCACATATGAGTTTTGAAGGGACACAAATATTTAGACCATAGCAGCCAGGAAGGAGGCTCACTACAACCAAGGGATAGGTCATCTAGGCCACCTCCTCATTTAGCTTTCTGTGAGGTAGATGTCCTCTGGGGGAACATTTATATGCTACTCAAATAGCCTCAAAGACTAACCATTTTTAGAGGTCCATCATAACTTCCCTTTAGGTGATCTTGGCACCAACCTTCCAGGTCCCTGATAATTTGACCAACCCATTAGCCCCTGCCTGTGTATTTGTGTATTTCAGGAAACCTCAGCTTATCCCTTCTTTCATGTCAGTGGCCAACCAGATGTACTTCCGGAAGTTCTGTCCATGGGGAGAGTTCCCCGTGGCTTGCAGAGCCATCCCAGACAGATAATTCTTAAACCAGACCAGGCCACTGTCACCCTTTTTTCTCATCAAATGGTCATAGGGAATACCCGGGGAGACCAGAGGTATGGTTTGAGGGAAAGGCGGGAAGCAGTAAGAAGTCTGACTCATCTGCTTATGCAGAGAAGAGAAGAGCTGAGAATAGATCTGAGGGTGTGAGGGGATAAAGAATAACAGCTCACCCACGTCTGTGCAGTTCTTTACCCTTAAGTTTAAGTGAAATGGTTCTTCATCAAGCTTCTTCTCACTTGGTTTAAGAAAATCCTTAGAGATATAACAGCATCAATATTACAAGCCAATAAGGCAACAAAGCAATAGCTTAGCCCTTGACATATATTTTTGACAAGTAATGTATTTCATGGTGTTTCCTAAATGTACATGAGGTAGAAGTAGATATATCCAATATCTATACTTAATTGATTTTGCCAGAAAGTCTATCTTGAAGTGTGAACTTCTGATAAATTCCTTCTGTTTGTGCCTTTTTAAAGACAAGTTCCATTTTTATGTTGTCTTTGTCAGTGACGGGAGAAATCAGATCAATTTTTTAAAGTCAGTTTTTTATATAAGCATTATTGAAACTATTGAAATCTGAGTATGGTGTTTTTAAAATAAACTGTGTTAAACTAATTTGTAATATCAGAAGTCAGGAAGGGAAGATGAAGGGGCATCTTGGGGCTGGTAATGTTGTGTTTCCTCCTCTGGGTATTGGTTATCTGAGTGAATTCTTTTTGTGAAATTACAACAAGCTGTACTTATGATAGTTGTACTTTTCTATACACGTATTCTTCTTCAATAAAAAGAAAATAAAATGAAAGGTGCTCCATATAACGATGACCTTTTGGCAAAAATTTCCATGAAATAGAAACTAGATGAAAAAAATTTACGAAATACTGCATAATTAGTGCATTCTTCTGGCTCAACAGCCCATCAAAAACACTTATTAAAGACCTAGAATTATTAAAGGCCTAAGAATGCAATGACTTGCATTAGATATAGCTGATAGGCCAGTGGGAAGGACAACATATCACAGAATAATCATTTCATTCACAAAACGGAAACACTGAATACTTACTATGTGTCAGACACTAGTCTCTATGCTTGAGATTCCATGAGTAAGCAAAGCATTCCATGTTCTTGTGGAACTGATGCCTAGTGAGGGGAGACAGGCAGCCAATTAATAATAAACAATGAGTAAATTACATGGTATGTTAGATGTGATAAGGGAAGCTTAAGAAAAAGAGCAGGATGAGGGAGCATTGTGGGGAAGCTTGCAGTTTTAAATAGGATGTTCAGAGTGGCATCACTAAGAAGGTGGTATTTATGCCAAGGTATAAAGGAGAAGATATTGGCCATATATGTAGCTGGGGAAGAGAATCCAGGCAGAGGGAACAGTGAAGCAGGAGATAACCCAACAAGTTCAAGGCAAAAAGGCCAGTGTGATTCAAAGTGAGAAAAGAAAAAAGGAGTTGATGTGAAGCCCGGGAATCAATGTGGGGAAGGAGAATTCCAGGCTGCTGCAAGATTTCCATTTTTCACTTTCAATGAAATGGGACACCATTGCAGGAATTGGGCCAGAGAGTGGCATGAGCTGACAAATTTTGAAAGTATCTTGCAGCTGTTTTGAGAAGAGGCTGCAGAGGAGAAATAATCCAGGTGAAAAATGATGGTAGCTTGGACTAGACTGATAGCAGTGGACATGTAAATAATGGTCAGAGTTTGAGTATATTTTGAACATTGAGCCAACAGGATTTGTTAGAGGACTGGATATGAGATTTGAGGAAAGAGAAAAGTCACACTTGATTTTGAGGTTTTGATCCTGAACAAGGATGAAGCTGTCATTGACTCAGCTTCAGATCAGGGAGACTGTGGGCAGAGGACGATTGGAGAGGAAGATTAGAAATTCAGTGTTGGGCACATTAGGTTTGAAATGTGTATCAGATAGTCTAATAGAGAGGACAAGTAGGGAGTTAAGTAAAAGAGTTTAGAGTTTAGGATAAATGTGTGAATACAAATGTAAATTTCACATCAATAGCCATAGAGATTATATTTATAAGACTAGATAACACAGAAGAGAGTATATAATAGAGACAAGAACCAAGGACTAAGGCCTGGAGCACTCCAAGAGAAGCACCCAATAATATAGAAAGAAAGAACAGCCAGTTCCATCCAGAGTATTTCAAGTCTGCAACAGGACTAGTTGACTTAACACCACTTGCCACTGTAATAATTACTTCCCAGGAAAATAAGTCCAAAGATATTTTCCAGTTTCTATGCCAAGCCATGATAATGATTAATTGCACAGTATCTGGCACATGGTAAGAGCTTCCTAATTATTACAAATTGTTGAATGAATTATTTCAGGACTGTGGGAATAAGCCAAACTCTCTTGAGACTTGAGCCTTTATTAGAGAGACCTGATTTATGAAACACATTTAGGGTCTTTCCCCTTCTTGAGCCCTCCAGGAATATTGAGGACCAGATATATCAAGGTGATCCTACCTGAAACTGAACTGGAAGCCAGCTGGCTACTCCATGCAAATCATCTGTTTTTCCTTCCTAATCAATTCTATCTGAATTTTGTGTGTGTGTGTGTATGTGTGTCCTTGAACATCTATCCTTCTTCCTCAGAGCCTTTGGCCTTGCTGTTCTCTTAGTCTAGATCATCTCCCCTTTGAATAGCTTATTGTCTCTCTTTACTGAAGCTTCAGTTTAAATACACCTCTTCAGAGAAGCCTACGACCACTGTTGATCACTAGTAATCATTGTTTGGCCTCAGCCTACACTAGTCTCTTCCACTTATCTTTCTCTTTAAACCACTTATTACCACCTGCCATTGTATTATATTTATTTGGTTAGTTGGTTATCCTCTGATTCTCCCACTAAAAGGCAGTCTCTCTGAGACAGGGATTTATTTTGTTCTTCCATCCCCAATATATAGATATAGAACAAAGCCTTGCCACTAGCAGGAAACTTGGTAAAGGTTGGTTTATGAATGAATCCACTCTCTCAGGTCTGGTCCAGATACCACTTAGTTAAAAATCATGTGGATTTCCCACCATGTGGAAGGATTATTATTCAGCATAAGTAAAAGTAAAGAACACGTGATCCCAAACCCACAAAAGCCTGCAATCTGGTTGCTCTAGGTTAGACTGTTAGGCTGATAGCAGTTTACTTCCCATAATTCTATTTCCTGCCAGGCTCCTGAGAGGAGAGACAGTGCTTTGGGTGAAGAACAACCATCATTTTAGCAGAGGTTCCATGGTGTTTTCCATGACAGTCATCTCTGGGCAAACAACATAAGCTTCTAAGTAAATTTAGTTTCTGATCTGGGATGAATAACTTGTATTTTTATCTTATAAATTGTACCCAGCAATCCTTTTCTCACCCCTAGCCCTTGAAGATTGGAGGAAATGGTGTTTCTGACTACACCAGTAACAGGATGGGAGCTTATTTTAAAGACACTGGTAGGAAAGGCTTTGGAGAAAAACTAGCTTATCGGGAGACTCCTAATTCAGGATCTTATATCCTTGATTAAACTCTGACTTTTACAATTTCCCAAAGTACACACACACACGCACACATGCACACACGCACACCAGAATTAATTGGTTCAGAATGAAACCAGCTAACACAGTGGCGCATTGTGTGGAGGTTGATCTCTATTGTGACCTAACTCCATGGACTACATGGAAATACAAGAACCAAAACTTGTATTTGTGTGACCAAAAGGTAAGGAAATTCAGAATACATAAGGCTATAAAAGGAAAAAAACAAAAAGAAGGTAAGCAATAAGTAAAGCTTTCAGAGTCTCACAGCTCAGTCCTCTGTTAGGAGGTAAAAGGTTTATTTCTGTCTCAAGCGTAGGCTAAGGCAAACCCAAGTCTTGCTCTTTGTGGTGGGCTTATGAGCAGGGTGAATGGAAAAAGGGAAATTCCTGGCAAGCTCTGGCTTGGAGATGGTACAAAAAAACCTCAGTAAGTATAGTGCATTTCCTTCTTTCCTGAATCCATACTAACTTGCCCAGTAAAACTTTCTTTAGTCCTTTACTGATTCCAAGACTTATTTTAATTTTTGCCTTTCAATTCTTATTTCCTTTCCCACAGATGGTACTGGGTAAAACAGAAGCCTGTAAAAGTAAAGCTTAAAAGACATTCTTTCCTTTTTTTGGCTTTAAAATGTTTCACATGACTAGATGATAGTCCCACCTCATCCACCCGCACTTACATTTTTCCTCTTCCCAGCATTAATAGGTCTAAACATGCAGTTAGGCAGGAAATTTAGAATAAGAAACTTTATTATTTTCTTGCCTCTTGGAGTTTTCAAAAAATATTGAAGGGGTTCTGATTCCAGGTACAATGGAGTAAGTGTACTCACACCACCCTGTTCCTCCCACTGAATGCGGCTAAAAAACCTGGGCAGAATAAGTGGAGCATCTGAGGACTCTGAAAAGTAAAGAACAGCAGGCAGATTGGAGACGAAGACCAAAATGGTGAGTGTGTCATTTTTTTCCCCTCCAGTTTCCTTTGAAATGAACACAAGACTGCCTGAAACCCAACATAGATACTAAGACACAGAGAGAGCTCAGGAGGGATCCTCCAATTACAGCTCGTAGAGTGGGAAAGGAATGCCTAGCACTAGGAGATAAAAACAATTATTTTAAATTTTTTCCCTTTCCTCCAGTCTTTCATTTATGTTAGACCCTACTAATTACTGCAGCGGTAGCAATAACAGGAGCACACGGGAATCAAAACTGAGAAAGAGGAACATTCCTCTCCAGTTGGAGGAGCTGTGGCCCAGAGAGGGTAAGATGAACTCCTGTGGCTTTTTCTACCTCCGTGTTCCCTCATCACTTGATCTGAGATGTGGGGACAGTTTCAGAAAGTGCACAACAGAGTAAGGCCACCAGAAGTCCAGATTTCTGACCACAGAAAAAGGTGAGAGCCCCAGGACACCAGGGGGTATAAGGAGATCACAGAGAGAAAGGAGTTCAGGATTATAGCCCTTAAAATTGTTTATGAGCTCTTGGGCTCACCCTTGATTTGGAAAGGCACAGATCTGATGCTACCCAACATAGGCATAAAGAACTGAACCAAAAGACTGTCCACTGCCCAGATCTTTGGCTTGAGACTGGGAAGGCACATACATGAGACAGACTTGAAAAGGACTACAAAGGCTTTAGAACCAGACTGGCATTGGAATCTTAACCCACAAATGGCTGGTCAGAACTTATGAGCTGAACCCGTTGTGTCAATTACCTGCTAAAACAAAAATATAGACATTCTTTGTAGGAGTTAAACAAGACTCCACATCTTATAACATATCATTCAAAACGTCTAGAATACAATCCACAAGTGTGCAGCGTGCAAAGAACCAGGAAGATCATGACTCACTTAGTCTGGCTGACAAAGACTTGCTAGCAGAGCTATTGTAAAAATGTTCCACCGAGTAAGGAAATAAACTCTTACATAGGTGGAATAACAGAATGCCTCAGCAAAGAAATAGAAGATTTAAAGAAGGTTTGAAATGTTAGAACTGAAAAATATAACTTAAATATAACTCACTGGATAGGCTCAATAGCAGAAAAAAATCAACAAAGAAAAAAGTGTACTTGGAGACAGATCAATAGAAATTGTTGTATTTGAATAACAGAGAGAGGCTGAGCGCAGTGGCTCACGCCTGTAATCCCAGCACTTTTGGAGGCTGAGGCAGGTGATTTTGAGATCAGGAGTACGAGACCAGCCTGGCCAACATGGTGAAACCCTGTCTCTACTAAAAATACAAAAATTAGCCAGGCATGGTGGCATGCGCCTGTAATCCTAGCTACTCAGGAGGCTGAGGCAGGAGAATTACTTGAACTCAGGAGGCAGAGGTTGCAGTGAGCCAAGATCACACCATTGCACTCCAGCTCTGGGAGACAGAGCAAGACTCCATCTTGTAAAAAACAAAAACAAAAACAAAACACCACTCTCATATAAAGAAAACCTAGGATAATTCACTGATAGCAGTCATATCTTAAAAGAACTGAAAGGGGTTTTTCAGACAGAAGTGAAATGATCCTAGAAGGAAATTGTGATGCAGAAGGAAGAGCAACAGACATGGCAAATATCTTGGAAAGTAGGTTATTCTTCTTTTATGAATATTTTAATATACGCTTGATGGTTGAAAGCAAAAATTAAAACATTGTCTGCTAGAGTTTTCAATGTATATAAACATAATCAATAAGACAACTACAACACAAAGCAGGAAGGGAAAATAAATCTGCATGGTGGTAAGGTTTCTACAGTCCATGTAGTAAAATATGGATTCTAAGTAAATTTTGAAAAGTTAAGTAGATGCATTGAAATTATAAGACTCAACTAAAGCAGTGCTTAGAGGAGAATTTCAAATCAATCATCTAAATTTTCAATTCAAGAAATTAGGGAAAAGAAGATTAAAATAATCCCAAAGGAAAAAATAAATAAATAAATATAAGAGCACAATCCATGAACACAAAACAATAGAAAAGAAAAACAATAGAAAAGCCAATGAAACCAATGGCTGGTTCTTTAAAGTGTGTGTGTGTGTGTGTGTGTGTGTGTGTGTGTATATATATATATATATATATTTTTTTTTTTTTTTTTTTTGAGACAGAGTCTTGCTTTGTCACCCAGGCTGGAGGGCAGTGATGCGATCTTGGCTCACTGCAAGCTCCACCTCCCAGGTTCATGCTATTCTCCTGCCTCAGCCTCCCAAGCAGCTGGGACTACAGGTACCTGCCACAACGCCCGGCTAAACTTTTGTATTTTTGGTAGAGACGGGGTTTCACCATGTTAGCCAGGATGGTCTCGATCTCCTGACCTCGTGATTCACCCGCCTCGGCCTCCCAAAGTGCTGGGATTACAGGGGTGAGCTACCGTGCCCGGCCTAAAGTATGTATATTTAAAGAACCAGAACACAGACACATATTTAAAAGAGCCAGAATGGGCCGGGTACGGTGGCTCATGCCTGTAATCCCAGTACTTTGGGAGGCAGAGGCAGGTGGATCATCTGAGGCCGGGAGTTTGAGACCAGCCTGACCACATGGAGAAACCCCATCTCTACTAAAATCACAAAATTAGCCAGGCATGGTGGCGCATGCCTGTAACACCAGCTACTCGGTAGGCTGAGGCAGAAGAATCGCTTGAACCCAGGAGGTGGAGGTTGCAGTGAGCCGAGATTGTGCCATTACACTCTAGCCCGGGCAACAAGAGGGACACTCTGTCTCACAAAAAGAATAAGAAGGTAAAAGAACCAGAATGATAGAGTTAAAAAAAAGTAAATACATACAGTTTAAATACTTACCAGAAATACATATAAATACATACCAAAATAGTGAATACATACCATTATACAGACTGAAAAAAAAGACACCAGTCACCACTATCAGGTTGAAAGGGGATATCACTAGACTCCACAGACATGAAAAGGATAAGAGAATACTTTGAACAACTGTACACATATAAATTTGGCAACTTAGAAAAACTAGGCCAATTCATAAAAAACCATAAAACTACCACCACTTACCCAAGATGAAATAGATAACCCAAATAGCCCTATAACTATTAAAGGAATTAATTCCTAATTAATAACCTTCAAAAAAAAGGAAATTTCCAGGTGTAGACTGTTTCACTAGTAAATGCTACCAAACATGTAAAGAAGAAAAAACACCAATTCTATAAAATCTCTTCAGAAAAGAGAAGAGGAAGAAATACTACTTAATTCATTTTAGGGGCCAGCATTACCTGATATAACAACTAAAGACAGTATAAGAAAACTACAAACCAATATTGCTCATGACAACGGATGAAAAATCCTCAATACATTCAAATCCAAAAATATATAAAAAGAATAATATACCACACCAAATGGAATTTATATTGTGAATGCATGATCTAATGTTAAATATCAGTCAATGCAATTCACCATATTAACAGTATAAAGGATAAAAAACAGTGGATCACAGATATAAATATAAAATGTACACCTGTAAAACTTTTAGAAGAAAACGGGATAAAAATCTTCATGACTTTGGGTTAAGGAAAGAGTTTTTAGTCATGACAACAAAAGCACAATCCGTAAAGGAAGAAATTGACATGTTGGATTTCACCAGAATTAAAAACTTTTGCACTGCAAAAGACATTGTTAAGAGTGTGAAAATAAAAGCTACAGATGGAATAAAATATATGCAAATCACATTTCCAACAAAAGACTTTTATCCAGAATATATAAAGAATTCTTAAATTTCAACAAGAAAACAATCCAGTTTTTAAATGGATAAAACCTTCAATAGATACTTTACCAAAGAGGATGTATAGATGGTAAATAAAGCCATGAAAAAATGTCCAACATCACTAGCCATTAGAAAATGCAAATTAAAGCCATAATTACACACCTACTACTAAGGCTAAAATAAAAAAATAAAAAAAACCTGAAATACCAAGTGGTAGCAAGAATGCTGAGCCACTGGAACTCTCAAACTTTTCTGGTGAGAATGTAAGATAATACAGGTACTCTGGAAAAAAGTTTGTCAACTTTTAAATGAAGTTCAACATATATCCACCACCATATCCAGCAATCTCACCCCTTAGGTATTTAGCATAGAGAAATAAGTAAGTTTACAAAATAACGCCTTATAGAGAAACGTTTATATAGTAGCTCTATTAATAATTACCACAAATGAAACAACCCAAATTCTTTCAACTGGCGAATACATTTGGTACATGTAAATAATGAAATACAATTCAATGACATAAAGAAACCAACTACTGAATCATGCAACAACTTGGGTGAATCTCAAAGGCACTAGCTGCGTGTATTAGTCTATTCTCACGCTGCTAATAAAGACATACCTGAGACTGGGTAATTTATAAAGGAAAGAGATTTAATTGACTCACATTCCACATGGCTGGGGAGGCTTCACAATGATGGCAGAAGGCAAATGAGGAGCAAAGTCACTTCTTACACGGTTACAGGCAAGAGAACTTGTGCAGGGGAACACCCACTTATCAAACCATCAGATCTTGTGAGACTTATTCACTACCCTGAGGACAGTATGGGGGAATCCACCCCCAAGATTCAATTATCTCCACTTGGCCCTGCCCTTGGCATGTGGGGATTACTACAATTCAAGATGAGATTTGGGTAGGGACACAGTCAAACTATATCACTGAGTGAAAGGAGCCTGTCTCAAAAGGTTACATGCTACATGATTCCATTTATATGAAAATTTCTAAAAGACAAAACCACAGTGATAGATAACAGATCAACGATTTGTGATCTGTTAGGAATTAGGGGTAGGAGAGGAATGGAATGGCAAAGGGATAACACGAGGGAGTTTTCTGGGGTGATTGAACTGTTCTGCATCTTGGTTGTGATGGAAGTTACATGAATTTATACATGTGTCAAAACGTATAGAACTGGCCAGGTGTGGTGGCTCATGCCTGTAACCCAGCACTTTGGGAGGCTGATGCG